AAAGAGAAGGGAAAAAAGAGAGAAGGAAATTAGAACCTGGAGCCAAAAAAGGACACGCAAAGAACGGCACCGGCACACACCAAGGAGGCTACCGCTGGGCAATCTGCAAGTGCACCCTGGATTCGACAGAGGCTTGCGCGGGCAGAGAGGTGCGTGGGCTGTGCCCGGACCGGCGCTCGCTCTGATGATCCTATCCAGATGGAGTCTGATGAGTGGTCGCCCATCCCATTGTCAAGGGGGGGTGAGGGAGCGATTTGGGGGTCGTCCTTCCTCAAAGACCCCCTTGACCCTTGGCCCTTGTTGGCCCGCCTCGAAGGGGAAACACTCATCAGCCGTATCTCGAGCTACCGAGGACTTAGGACTAGGAGCCCCCAAGGCTGCGATGTTGGGCGGCGACTACGGATAACGCAGTGCAGATACGCAGTGACGAGCTAGCCGAGTCGCGCAACCCAGCAACGTGGGCGCGATGACAAGAACTCCCTACTTTAGCACTTGCGCTAGGGCTTACACTACGTGCGGCGCGAAGAGGGACAGAAAGAGGCAGAGAAGCAAAACTTGTCTCGTGGCGTTGCCGCTTGGCGGGTAGCAGCGCAATTCTGCCCTGCTTTGCAACTGGCAGAGACGCGCGCCACTGTTCCTGGTGGAAATTAGGACAAGCTCCTGGCGGTCTCTAGGCACTCCGTTCTGCCGGGCCCCGTTGCGATGGCTCCCGCAGATGGCAAGCCGTAAACCGTCCATCCTGAAGAGTTACACTGAAGCCTCCAAAACTGCGTTTGAGAATCCGCGAAACAAGGGGAGGGGAGGTGAATCTTGATAACGACGCAAGGATGAAAGCACCATCATTCGATCATGGGATCCGCAACGCTCAACTGAAGCTGGAGACGAGATGCAGGGGTCATGGCAGGGGAAAACGTGGAAGAGGAAAGTCGTGGGTACAGAGTAATCCGAGCTCCCATTTCGTGCGTCGATGCATTTCCCATCTCAGAAGTGACAAGTAACTCTGTCTCCGCCCCGCCCAGCCTGGGCAGGAGGATCTCGTGGGGACGTAATCTTGAGGACAAACCAACCGGAAGAACTTGACGGCATCGTAGGAAGTGGCTTGTTCAGTCGGGCTGGAATCTCCTGCAGTAGGCCGTAGGCCGAGTGCCTATCCGTATCTGCCGGTCTTGCCAGAAGCGTGCCCGCGGTGTCAAGAGCTATAGACACTAGAGAAAAGATCTCGGATTTCCACGTCTGGAGGACGCTTCCTAAAGCAGCCTCCGTTGGGTCCGGATCCACTTGGAAAGAAAGGCTCGGGATCGATAATAAATGAGGCGTGGGGCTGCCCCCATTCAGCACTTTCGTCGGTCGAACGACGCGACTCCCACTCGCGAGCCGTGGGCCGAGGCGTCATCGATGTGCTTCATGTGGGCAGAAGCAGAACAGTTCCGAAGAGGAAGAAACAGCCAAAGAATATGGCCAGGGTGATGTAGAGACGGGAAAATGGGATGAACCAAAACGAGCAACCACAGCCCAGCGCCATCGCCATCTCATGTCCAGCCGTGCAGGAACGAAATCCCAGACGCAGCAGGTGACGGATCGCGTGAATGAGGAAAAAATAAATTTGCAGCAGTGAATACGAGGCCAAGCGGAACGATGCAAAGTAAAGTGGTTAAACAGAAAAAAAGGCGCGCGACAAGAAGCAGTAGAACAAACAGGCCAGCGAATCAACGACGCAGTAGAGGAGCCAGTACGTGGAACCAGTGGTGTACATAGAACGATGGAGAAAATGCAGTCGTCGATAGTGTTGAAAACTGAAAGATGGGGCCAACCACTAGAAAAGAGAGACTTACGGAGCTTCTGATTTGCTGCTATTTTTGACATCCAGGAAAACGTGTGCGTAGACGCCATGTCGAATTTCGTTGGCACGTTTGTCGTCCAGCGCTGACAGCGATTGCCTTGCACCCGCTGGCCCAAGGCCACTGCCAGAGACTGCCCGGGCCGCCCGGTAGTCTTTCTGTTCGATAGCGTAGCTGTGGTGCCCGTAGTTGAGTCCGTAGTCGGGATCGAACCGCCGGTTGCCTTTGTAGGAAGTCGTGATCGCTTGGCCCGCAGGCGGGATCTCGTAGTACTGACGTCCGCTGATCATTGTGCCGTCCATGATCCGAGGTTCGTGACGGTCGCTTGCCGATATATCTAGTCGACTGATGTTCTTCTCCTTATTCTCTGTCGTCTCGTTCGTCTCTTTCGGACCGTTCCACGTGCCGTCCAAACCTCGATGAGTTCCGTCGTGTTGCTGCTGCTGATGCTGATGCTGCTGCTCTTACCGACTCTTTGCGCTCTCTTCCTCTCAGCCGCAGTCCTACCACCAAAGTTGGGCTGAACGACGAGGCCACACCTTTTATTTCAACGGACAAAAGGGGGTTGCAACCTTGGCCTTCATGAGGTCGTTGTGCCGTAATTTTAATATACCGGACGTGGGGATAGCTTGGCCAGTTGCCGTTGTTGCGAGGGTGGGTTTTCAATTCAGTAGCTGACCCGCTTCAGCCAACCCAAGAGCATCATCAAGAGTAGGATGCTGTTGCGAACTTGCGATGATGGATGAGCCGGAAAGGGGAGACGAGGGGGAGTAGAGACCGAACAATAAGAGCCAACAACTATAACCTGTCAATACCAACAAAACGAGGGTGGAAAGGGGAAAGATGAGAAGACGAGGGAAGCAAGAGGGCGAGGGCCTTCCAGATTGCAGCCTTCATGCATATGGGTGCATTATATTTGAACTCAAGAACCCCATCTCACGCTCGAAATATCCCATCAAATCGCGGTCTGCGGCCTGGGATCTGGACCTCGTGGTCCCAAGACAAAAAGTCAGAGCCCTGCTCGGCGCTCACGCACTCCCGGTCCTTCCACTCCCAAAAGCCCTTACTAGAGCTGCGCAAAGCAACGCAATATGGCGGCAACATTCTGCACTGCAGCGGCTGGGAGGTGCCTTAGTCGCATGAATGATTGGAATGTGGGTAATCTAACCCCTCTATCCCCCTCGTCTAGCTTGTCTCGCGCCTCCAGCTCCAGGCAATCGACGATGGGTCGCAGCGACTCGCAGCTGCCAGGCACTCGACTCAATACAATGGAAGCACCCACATTTCTGGCGTGGATAACTTGTACCCGCTGCCTGGGAAAAACAAGGTTAACAGCCCGACAGGGTTGGTGATGTTCTGGAGCTCTCACTCAAGCTCCAGGCCATTCCCTGAGTGGCGGAGCGGGAGACCGGCCACGACGACTACCGAAGGCGACGAATGAGCGGCCCGGAGGAAGCCAAGGCATATGGCATCTTGCCCTGGCTCTGTTTCGCGGGGTTGCGACGAACCGTGCCGGCATCCAGTAATATCCGTATCATCATGTGCGATGCTGATGCTGCACAGCCAGTCCATTCAGAGTTGCGCACATCTCACTGCCCAAAACACACTGGCTGATAACTCGTCGGCTCAGAGGGAGGAAGACAGGGACAGGCCACCGAGGCAGGGTGAACGAGCCTGGCGTCCGCCTCGGGCAAATAGATCCTGTATGCGTAGCTCTTGATCCTCCCTCTGAACCACCTCGTCTCATCATTCTGACCTCGTTTCGTCCGGACCATCACATCAGTTCGGTCAGTGGCGTGTCGGCGGGAGGCTGGGCTGGGGCCAACTAGCAGTCCCGCTTCGCCCTGCAGCGCAGACCAGATGGAAAGTCGATGAGGGAGGGGTGTTTGATGCAGCTAGCCATGACGGGACTCTTCTGACCACGCAAGTTTTCTTTGGCACAGACGGGGCTGGAACCTGCAAGCTAGAGCCGTTCAGATAGACAACGGCCTTTGTGTACCTTGGCCGCAGCACTGATCCAGGAACAGGAACAGAAAACCAGGAAGTTGAAGTGGGACAAAACTCACTTATTCTGGGAATCCCATCTCCAAGGCCGACACACCGAAAGCGCAATACCTAGTCAAGGGGCTCCATTTTCCCAGCATCCAGCTCTGCCAGGCTCCAGCTTTTGCTTACACCAACACCAGAACCCTGTGATACTGTGAACCCCCAGGCGCCATAGCGCGTGCTGAGGTCGCATCAAAGTCGCCTCGTCAATCTGGGCTGGACGTCTTACGCGCATCCCGCTGCCACTTCCGCGTCTGCATTCCCGTGCCGTGTGGCCTGCGACGACTGGCCTGCTTCATAGCTGGGTAGGTATCGATCGTCACATCCCGCTTCGATAGCTTGTGTGGTTCGTGGATACAGTGACTATAGTGCCTAAGTGTTCTTATTGTTCACGGATATCCATATAACCTTCTATTGCATTCCTTGAGCCTCGAGGACGTCTTGCTGTATTCGCAGAGGCCGTGGAGCGATGCAAAAGAACGTGAGAATGGATAGTCCCGAGAGATCGGAGCAAGGTAACTCTTTCGGGTAAGCTCGTTGCCGTGGTGAGAATCGGTTTCAACGGGCGTCCCTGCTGCTTTCTGTCTTAGTTTGAGGTGGGCTTTTAGCGGCTAACCTCAGACGAACCACCCAACCTCTGGAATTTGGGGAGGAAACAGGGGGCGAAGGAGTTGAAAGGAGCATTCATCGTTGGTTCGTTATCGACAATGATCATTGTAGGGAGGTGAAAATCGTGAAACGAGTCAAGTCGCCTGCGTCAAGTCGCCTGCGTCAAGCTGTTCAGAGGTCTCCACGATTGCGCGGCGGTTTGTCGAAACTGATGCAAGTTCGAGGCTCTCTTGGTAGATGTGCATCGTTGGTTCAACTGAAGCGGACAGGATGGGCAGAGAAACGCCTCCCCCTGTTTCTTCCTTGGCCTGAGCCTTGCTTGCCTTACCTAGCTTGTCGTTCTTGCCTTCCGTTGCCATGCTCGGGTAAAGGTTGACAGTTTCACGGAACTTGGAAGGCGTCATGTCATGTCATGCCATGGTTTTTTTTTTTTCCTTCCTTCCCTTCCTTTTTTCTTTCTGTGCTCGACGGGCAGGCACGGAGTGGAGAGACAAAATCGTTTCGAACATGGGGGTTTGTCTGGGTCCCTTCCTTCCCCAAATCCCCAGCGTCTCTGTCATCCAAAAGTGCAGGTATCATCCCCAGCCTCTTCTTTCCTTCCATATTGCATCCTGTGGATCGCACCTTACCTTATGTACAAAATGGGTCCACGATCTCCATCGAAACCTTCTTGCCGAGACCTCCGCATTGCATCATCGTTTCGTGCCCGTTGTCATCCGTCCTAACGGTTCCTTTGTTGGGCTTACGTATCCGCAAGATCCAAGCCACGGAGTTACCGGTTTTGTTTTTCCAAGAAACAAGAAGGACATGACATGTGAATAGCCAACATACGGCATCCCACAGCCGCCTGGGCGAAAGGGGGGGAAAACCCCAAGCGATGCAATCTCTTGTGCCGGTCCTTTCTTTTGTTTATCATACATTGGTCGTTGAACCTCATATTACACACGTCCCCTCATCCGTGACTTAGCCATGCCTCGAGTGTCTGTTCACTCGTCTGTTCTCATCCTCCGTGCACCACACGAAAAACGTCTGAACCCAGTCCCAAAACCCACGAGGTTATCTCGCTTGGCCTTTCCCAGTCCCTCGGTCGAAGCGGCCGCGCTACAGAGTCTTGCCGTGGACCGGGTTCCGCTGTCAGCTAGAGAGGGTAGTACAAACATAAAACAGCCGACGCAACTTTTGCACGAAGCGTCTCCGTTCAAGGTGAGTAGAGGCTCAAGAGAGAGCAAATAGCTAATGCATTTCCCCGTTGGTCCCCGTCCCGGGCCGGCCTCGGACTTCGGCACCTGTCTGCACTATCACTATGAATAGGTCCTTTCAGAGGGACCGCCGCCTCTCGGACTGAAGAAGTTCGCTTGGCAACAACACCGGCAACAACATTAAATGCGCCGAGAAACAAAAACAGTGCGTCGTGATGTTGTTAGAAATACCTCGCGTTCCTCCGGCAACAGCGTTTACTGCACTTGATGTTGAACTCGGTTCTCATGCGAACCGATGAGGAATGACTCTGACCAAGGTATCACTAACAAAAGGTTAATTGCGCAAAGTAAGAGAATCTTCGAATAGTGATAGTAGAAACGATTCTTATTGCTGCTGCATCCATGTGCAGCTTAGTTGGTATCTCGAGAGCGCTATACAAACATAATCCAACAAACCTCACCCGTCGTAGAAAGCAGCCACCTAAAAGTACCGCACGAGATCCGGGCCACACGCCCAAATTTCACTCGCCATGCTGAGTTCACCCTGAACTCTAGAAAAGTGCTATGAAAATCGCACTTTTGGCGGGGACTGTTCATCGCTCATTTCCTTGTCCTCTGCAGAGAAGCGCAGGCGGCGCACAGGTCTGGCGGGTTCCCCTCCCAAGTCTCCGTTGCCTTCAGGCTTGGAACTACGCGGGCGCTTAAGACCGCCCATGTTTGTACCATTTGCCAGCTCATCCTTGACCAACGTCGACTTCATCTCCGTGCCATTTGCCAGAGTATCCTCTTCCGAAGACTGACCGCCAGCAAAACTGCTGCCAAAGATTGGCTGAGGGCGCTTCAGCGGAATGGCCTGCGCCAAGTAATCTTTCTGGTCCTTTGGAAGAGGTATAATGCCGACGTTCAAGATCCAGTTGTAGATGGGTTGGTCGTCTATGATGGACTTGCACTTCCAATGCTCAAACTGCGACATGGTCTTCTTGCGTTCCATGATGACTTCTTCGATGCTGTCCCGGAGGACGAGCGTCTCGACCGTCACGGGTTTCTGCTGACTGATGCGCCGGGCTCTACCAATGGCTTGGGCTTGGATCTGGGGGTTCAGAACGGGGTTGATAAAGTAGATTCGCGAGGCAGCCCTCATGTCGAGACCAATAGCGGCCTGCGACAAGTCCATGAGAATGACCCTGGATATTTTCTTAGCATACGCAAAAAAACGAGAGTCCACTGAAAACGAACCTGATCGTAGGGTTGTTATTGAAAGTGTCCACGTACTCCATCTTCCGGGCATACGTGAGCTTGCTGGCATAAATCAGGTGACGCACGTGAATCTGGATCACAATGTTAATTCGGAACCACCTGTCATCGAAATGCTCAAACTCACTACTTCAAGAAGACCCGCCAGATACCATGCCACATTCTCATTCTCGTAGAAGATGATCATCTTCTCTTTTTCTTGGTGCTCGACCACAGCGTCGATAAGGTATGAGAGCTTTGCTGACACGGTGGAAACCAGCATCGCCTTCTTCAGATCGTCTGGAAGTTGCTCCAGCTCGGGCACGGGCTCAGCGGGCTTCGAGGCAGTAGACTTCAGGTGTCGAGCAACCCGTTCACCTCCCAGTCTTGTATTGCCAGCGAGAACCCCTGGAGACTTTGACGGCCGGTGGTCAACCGCGACACCCTGTGCCCCGGACATGATCTGATCGGCTTGCTCTTTACGACCCTCAAATTCCAGTTGACCGTTGAGTAGGCTATTCAGCTTCGTGGGCTTACCCATGGCAGAGGCGATCAGCTTCTGCGCGGTAAGTACCATGCCAGCATCGGTACAAGTAGGATTAGCGTCTCGATCGTCGAGGGACCAGGCAGAGCCCACGCCATTGGGGAGAAAGTCGCGGATGAAGATGGGGACCTCGTTATACTTGTTGCTGAAGTCTTTGAGTTGGTTTTCGATGGCAATGTGGGCAACTTCAACGGCCTGTTTCAGAAGAGCTTCGTCTTTCTCGCTGATGAGAACCTTTTTCTCTTGGAGGAAAGTCTCTGCAGTTTCGAGTGCCTTGAGTATATCGTCCTTAGCGAAGAAGACACCACCGAAGAAACTGGATTGCTTCAAGTTGTGAACCAACTGGAGCAGAGCCTTGCGTTGACGAGCGTGGAAGAAGTAATCCATGTCGACTCTTTGAGACTGGACGGCGTTGAAGATGATCATCATCGAGAAGATGTTAAGCGACAACTTGTCTTGGTATGAACCTTCCAATACAATAACGTTCTCGTTGACTGATGGAAGCAGGGTGTTAAGCTCCGACAGTCGATGCCTGACGATGAGAGAGTTCAGTGTAGCGCGCAGCACCCCCATGCGGCCGGTCGACCGGGAGCTATGCTTCGGCTGCATCACGTACACTGCCCAATCTGCCGTCGTATCTCCTGTTTCGTGTACGCTATTGGACCAAGGTCGAGCATTGAGGTACAGCGATGATATCGCGCCAATCTTCTCCAAGTCTCCCTTTTCCGCCTCGGCGAGGGCTGCCGCCTTGTCGGTATTATTTTTGTCGTCGGGATGGGTATCGTTGAAGTGTTGGTCGTCTACACCGAATAAGCCAGTGGCTGGCGTACCGGTCACAATCCAGCGAGCAGAGATGTGAAGTGCGTCAATAGCTAGGAGGACATTGCTCTTGTTGTTTATCTTCGCGTAGCCTATCTTGTGCCCTTCGTCGACTATACAGCGCTTAAAGTGGACTTCTGCCAGTGGACACCCCATCATCATAGTTTCTCTCCATACCCTATCGAGCCGTGACTGGGTAATGAGGACGAGGTCATATGCTGCGAGGACTTGAGAGTTGGGAATTTCCTCCTTCTGGCTAGTCAACTTCAGGACCTTAAGACCCGCCGGGTTTCCTGGGTGGACGATGTGCTTTTCGATTTCCTGGATCCATTGTTGAACAAGGTTGTTGGGGACGATCACTATGGATGCATGAGTGTGTCGGACTTTCTTTGCCGGGTTACCAACAGAATTTTCATGCCGCCGAAGGCGCTTGGGAGGCTCCTCGGGGACGTGGTAGCGGCTGGGGTTGCGGCGGATTGCTGCTATGCACTTGTCGTACTCCAGCTCTTGGTTCGCATCATAGACGTTGAAGAAGATCTTCCAAGGAGCTCCTTTGATGTTTGCATTCGAGGCTGCCATGTCAGCGAGTGATCCAATCTTCTTCCTTACGCGCACGTCGCTCCCTTGGTAAATATCGGGGGTGCGGGTGGACAAATGTCGAGTCGCCAAGATGACGGCCAGACAGATCAGGGTCTTGCCTGCGCCCATCTGCTCGGCCAATATACCGCCTCTGACACCATCGTAGAACCTTGGTTCCTTGACGAGGGCTCCAGAGCTAGTATCGTAGTAATAGGCTGCACCATTTTGGTCGATTCCTTTGGCAATTCTTGGATCCAGGAACTGGCCAGGTTCACTTTCGCGCTGAATCATGACCGCAGCTGAGCGACGCTGGTAGTCATAAAGCTTCGACGTATCATTCAGACCAGGCAGGTTGCCTTCGAGTACGTTGTAAATGGCATCTTGTTCAAATGGGTTGGTGACAGCATGGGGCGCCGGGTCCGGGGAAGGAATGCTGTTGAACATCTGGAGCAACGAGGTTGAGTCATGAGAGTCTTCTTCATCTCTGAAGACATGTTCGAGTGTGGTTGGAGTCGAAGTGGGCTGGCCAGACCAGGCCTCTTGAGAAAAGTCGAGTTGGGCAATGAGCGCTCTGCGTGATCTTCTTAGCTTAGTGCGGTCTCGGTCGATGGCCTTATTGTCGACGTCGTCAGGCAAGACATAAATTCTTGCAGTTCCGCGTTCCTCACTCTCCGGGCGAATGAGTAGATGGACTCGGATCCATCCTTCAACCACGAGGTTCTTGTAATTCTTGAAAGCCGCAGACAAGAGGAAGGTATCCTCTACATGATCAAATGGCTTGGGGGCTCTGACGCCTTTGGCAGGTTTCGTCGGCGCAATGATGCCCCATCTTCCGAATCTCTTCTCCAACAGCTTCCACTCTTCAGCTGTAAGCTCAGTGTTTTCCCGCGTGATGATAAGGCTTCCTAATGGAATGAAACTCGATGGTGACGCCATCAAGCGTGATAACAGGCCACCGTAGTGCGTCCAGTTGATCAAGAAGCAAAATAGTACTTATCATTCATAAAAAACCGCGTAAGTCTTGCTCCTGAATGAGTATAGATGGGAATTTGGATTTTGCAAGTGACAGGTTGATGAGATTGGATGGTTGCTGATGTTTCAGTGTAAGAGGAAGGTGAGAGTAGGTGAGTGAGGCGAGGTAAGTTTGGAGACGCATTGGAGCCTGGGTACAGTGCAGACAACCGCCGGACACAGTTTGTGTGTGCTTTCCGCCCTGCGGAATGAACAGTGCGACTTTGCGAGCAGATGTTAAAGAAGGTATAGCTTTGTAATTCACCCAACTCAATAATTGGTTCTCATTTTCACGTCTCTCTCAACATCGTCTGAATTATTTAGTCAACGAATTAAATCAGAAATTTGGCTCCCCAGCGCGCAAACTCCCATCGCCCATGTTTCGTGTCCCATGTCCTCCAACCCCAATCATGACCAAGACGAGGATAACGCCAAACGACTCTCAAGTTGCTCTCTAACACCGACCATGCCTATCATGGCAAGCAGTTCACAACTCTAGTTCTTCTTGCCCTTGGGCGCGGAGGTGGCGCTGAACGAGACGCTCTGGCTGGTCTTGCCCTTGGAGGCCGTGTCGGTCTTGACGTTGTTGTCGAGCTTCTTCTGCTCGGCGTCGATCTTGGCCTGGTTGCTGGCGCCCTGTGCTTGCTGCACCTGGAGAGCGAGAACCTCGAGCTGGAGCTTGAGGACCTTGTTCTTGATCTTGCCGACCTTCAGGGCATCGGCATCGGCTCCGGACGCCTTGGCAATGGCGTCGTTGAAACCGCCGGCGTCGGTCTCGGCACCCTCTGCGGCGACGCGGGCTGCCTGGAGAATGGCCAAGTCATCCTTGCTGACTCCAGCAAGGTCAG